TTTGGACCACCAGGGGCTGCTCCTTTGCCCAGGAGGGGTCCCAGGGCAGCTGCTCGGGGAGGTCCTCTCCAGCAGCCATGTCCTCGCACAGCCCACAGGCACTTCCACCATGGGCATTACCTGTCCCAGCCCTGAGCCACCCTCTCCTCCCTGCCCCAGAGCTCCCTGCCCTTGTGTGGCATGGGAGTGCCTGAGTTTCCGGACACTGGGAGGAGCAAAAAGAAAAACAGGGGAAGCGTTTACCTTTTGAAGGAAGGGATGATGGCATCAATCCCTGTAAATTCTGTTAAAACACTATGAAGTTAATGGGCTTCTTTTCACGTCAGAATTGCACATTTAAACAGAACTCAAGTATTAACCACAAGTGTGGTTTAACCTTGGCTAGCAATGAAATACCACACAGCTGCTCACTCACGCACGCACCCCGCTCCAGGGGAGGAGGAGAATCGGAGGAAAAGACAAAGAAGCTCATTAATTGAGATGAGAACTATTTAATAATTGGATATAAATGAATATTATAGTGACACTAATAATAACAATACTACTAACAATAAGTAATTAAAATAACGGAAAACAAAACGTATAGTACAATTGCTCACCACCTGCTGACCGACACACAGCCAGGTCCTGAGTAGTGAGAGTCAGAGCCAGAAAGCACGGGAGCCGGAGCCTGAGAGCCAGAGCCCAAGAGCCATCACAGCAGATTCTGAGTGAACCCTATCAGTGACAGCATGACCGGGAAAGCCAACCAACCCACCAACTCACTAATGAACAAGTTAGAAAAAGAGCTAAGGAGCTAGCAAAAGAGTTAACAAAAGAGTTAAAGAGCTATGGCCTCCCCCGAGCCCACTCCTCAACGGGAGCCGGAGCCTGAGAGCCAGAGCCCAAGAGCCATCACAGCAGATTCTGAGTGAACCCTATCAGTGACAGCATGACCGGGAAAGCCAACCAACCCACCAACTCACTAATGAACAAGTTAGAAAAAGAGCTAAGGAGCTAGCAAAAGAGTTAACAAAAGAGTTAAAGAGCTATGGCCTCCCCCGAGCCCACTCCTCACCTATGTACTGAGCATGACATGCTATGGAATGAAATACTCCTTCAGTCAGTTTGGGTCAGCTGTTTGAACTGTGTGTCCCCCCACACTGCTTGTAGTAAGGAAGTTGGGAACACTGGGGCAGTATCACAAACTGAGACTTTGAATTTGGTGCACGCACTCTGCAGCACCAGCTAAAAGACACCTTTATCAGTGCTTTTCTCAGCGTAAATCCAGAAACAGAACCTCCTACCAGCCACTGTGAAGAAAGTTAACTCTGTCCTGACTAAAACCAGCACAACAAGGGATATGGCTGAATAAATACATTACTGTGCCCAGCACTCAGATGATGCCATCGAGCTCATTACCCACATCTGACACCGGGGAGGTACAGGCTGTGGCACAGCATTTGCACTGACTATTGTCAACAGGCAGCAAAGGGGGCAGTGGCTCTGCCAGCAGCTTCTATGGCTCCCCATCGTTTCCAGACAGGCCCAGACATATCTCTGCTGCCAGACACAGCCGGTTGCCGCATGGCCGACCCTTGTCCCCTCTTAGTACGCAGAGATGAAAAGGGACGATGAATTACACCGTAAAAGAGAAGAAAGGTTGTAAAAAGTCTCCATGTGATTTGCTCATGACTTTTTGCAGCTTTCTGCAGGCAGTGGCAGCATGGCTGGGCTGACCCTGTCTCAGACATGGATATCTGCTCCCACTAGGTGACGAGTGGCCTTGAAGGGTGAACCAACAGCTGGCGGGATTGCCTCAGTCATGACGATGGTTAAAAGACAAGGGTGTTTTCCTGCTGCTATGAGCAGGGCTGTTGAGCAGTAAAAATGCTGCTGTGCCCTCTTTGGGGCAAGGACCTGGCTGTTGGCAGGGACCTTTGGAGCGAGCGCAGGCACCCCCACCACCTGTGGGTGCAGCGGGGGTCACGGTGCCCATCATCCCTCACCGGACACCTCCTACCCCTGCCCTGGCTGGCTGCCCCTGCTTGGCCATGCATCAGGTTCCAGGTAATTCCCACCACCTCTGCAGCCAACGTAACACCCCTCAGCACGCCAAAGGTGAAGCAGGAGCCAGGAGGGGCAGGGGAGGGACAGACCACAGGGGGCTGTCAGGCAGGGACAGCATGGGGGTCCCATGCAGGGACGGGGACGCCCAGCAGCAGGCAGGGACACAGGGACCTCAGGGAGGAGGGTGTGTAGGAGCAGCAGCAGGAGAGTGTTGAGGGGCAGGACCACCCCCAGCCTCCCGTGCCACAGGAGGCACATCCCCCACCAGATAACGAGCCCAGGCTGAAAACGCAGCGGAGCAGAGCTCATGGCCACAGGCAGGGCTGACCACGTACTCGCCCTTCTCCTCCCCAGGTACGAGCCGTGTCCCTGTGCAGATGGAGGCTGCGGTGCGGAGCAACCTCTGCTGCACACCCATCACCCGAGAGGTGGCCCAGGCCCCACGCGCACCCCGCGTGCCCCCACATCTACAGCTCCATGGCACCACTGGCAGCGCTGGAACGGCTTGCAGGAACAGAACGGATCCTGAGGTGCATGCAGCCACCTCTCACCAATACCCAAGGTCACAAAGCAGCTTTTGTTATACAGCGCACATGTCCCTGTTCACAAATGGACAACACAGCGCAAAAGCTGCCCTCGTTAACTCAGCAGCACCCGGCATGCCCTGCTCTCGCTCTGGAGCAGTTTTCCAGGCAGAAAACCTCTCCCCTGTTTCCACCCCTTCCCCACCAACACTGCTTCAGCCACGAGCAGATCCCATAGTTTCATACCGCAGCTCTCCCTGAAGCAAAGCCCAGCCACACGTACCTGCCGAGCCGCCCTTGTCCCAGGAGACGTGCATCCTTTTCCTGGTTCCCATCCTTTATATGCACTGGGTGCTGACCTCTGCTCCCTCTATCAGGCGACACGCTGGCTCGTGCGATTGCAGCTCCCGCCCTGAGGGCTGCACGCTCACCCTGACGCTTCTGCAGGGCTCCTGCCACCACCCCTCGCCCTTCCATACCCCAGTGTCCCACAGGTCCAGAGCCCCGAGGGTACACACTGATTTCGGCAGTGCTTTCCAGAGAAGGGCAGTTTGCATTCAGGCTCATGCAATGTCGTAAGCTCTGCCCCTGGAAGGGCAGCCTTCCCTGAGCATCCCCAGGAACTGACTGTACCTCCACTGGGTGATATGGGCGCTGCCCCAAGGTACAGCTACAGAAACTTAGCACGCTGTGCTGGGATGAGATGGCAGCATATTTCTCTCTCTCCCACTCCACGTTCCTGGCCTTTACCACTCTAAGGCTAAAACCAATGTTTTCTGTATTTTCAGGGACCATCCACAGGACCGTCTAGGCCATCTGGCGTTTAGGCTGTCAGGCAGACCCACCCCGCAGCACTGACAGAAACTCTACCTGCTCTTTACAAGGTTTGTGGTGAAGGTGAAGACAGAGGCAGGGGGGAAAATTGATCATATTTTCCTCAGAGGGTGAAGCTGAGGGAGATTTGTAGGGATCAGAAATCCTTTAGCATCGCACCAAGAGTGATGGAGAGAGTGGATGTGACTTTCGCCTTTTGGATGGAGAGCGTATCGCTAACAGCCCAGCTCAGGCAGGCATGCTGGGAAGCAGCAGGGTTTGCCCATGGAGCGGGCTTGGCCAACCTGTTGCCGAAAACTGTAACCAAGAAAACTCTCCAAAACAAATGACAGTTTAGAAAGCTGCCACTGGTTTACTGCTTAAGGGACAGCTCCTCCCAGCATGCACACCAAACAGGGTTCTTTGTGCCATATGTATACACAAAACTTTCAGGGTGGGTAATTTTCTAAGTCTATCCTCTTTATAATGATTGGCTAGTAGTTTACGTATAATTATAATACTGTTGACACTTTTGTCGCAGAAAGGAGGGGATGAAGAGTGGCTTAGGCCACTTAGAAGATTAGCATCACAAATATTAGGGGGAAAGCTGTTATTTTTAATACAAATTTGGCAGAAGCATGACAACAGAATTAAATGGCAAGGCCCATTCTACTACTTATTCGGCATGGAAAAGCACGCAAAGGTGAAATCAAATTAGCACTGGGTTAAAATGGTTTATACACGAATTAAAAATTATTTACACTCAGGGAAATCAAGTCAGGATTGGGTGGTTGTGATATGAACTAGGGAAAAGGGTCAAGGAAATTCCTCCCATTGGGTCATGAGGTTCAGAGTGGACCCGCTTGCCTTCTAAACTTCTTGAAAGAGAAGACTAGGTGCGGCTGAATCTACACCTTGTCCCTGACCTAGTCAACAGTTTGTGTCTAAGGAAGTGGGAAAAGGGATCACAGTGTGTTGGATTTTGTGGTTTGTGCAAAACTTTGGAATAGCAATGATTAGGAATAGCAGCAGTTCAGAATTCATTATCACTATTTAGATATATCACCCAATCCGATTATATAATTCCCCAATGAATCAGTACAGTAACTTAATCAAAGACTTAACAAAGTTATGGACATAAAGTTGTATGCATACGCTCACACAGACACAGAGATAGTTATATATGTATGTATATATATATAAAGGTACCTGTTACAATCTCTCCTTGTGTTTGGTGAAAATATTCACATAGGATGCTAGTGCATCTCTCAACAGGCAAAGAGAGGAGGAGGTTTCCAGCCCAGGTTGCATCGAGAGTTCTCTGATTTCACAGACTTGAGAGGCGTCCCACTCAGAGGGAGATGCTGGCCACAGCCCACTGCAGTCCAGGAGATCTCAAAGGGGCTTCCTTGGAATTGCTCTTTGTAGGTTGCTGAGATAATTGACTTTAGGCATAAGTAAATTTCCATCCTGACCATGATTTGGGTAGGTTATCACTGGAACACCCAGAATTTTAGTAATGCTGATACCAATCTACCCAATTGTTTCCCACTCATCCCTTGTGTAACCAGAAAATTGAACTCTAGTACGGCCATTGCCGGCCAATGCCATTCCCCACCTTAGCAGTGAAGAGCATTTGATATGACCGAGGGACACAACCACCAAACTCCCTGCACAATGGCTACGGTTTGACAGGAATCTCTAGGGCCATAGAGCAGTCCAGAAGCTGAGAGGGGAAGAAATACACCACCACACACATTACTTCCAATATTACGCGTGCTCAGGGGAAGGGGCAAGGGTCTTTTTGACCTGTGGATGTGATTTTTAGTATTATAATGAGGGTAGTTCAATTACAGATACATGGATCTTGAGTTCTGTGAGTTTTCTTGCCAAGTTGGCAATGTACATAGAACATCCTCAAAACATCTTGATTAACTGTTTCTTGAAGGCCTCATTATTCCAAGATATCCTTGGTGGATGAATGCCAACTGTGTACCCTTCTGGTTACAAATGCAACTTAGCGACACCTTGCACAAAGCACACACATCGTTTCACATTTCTGAGTTAACCCTCAACAAACCATGACCCAACCAGGTTTGCAATCACAGGTGGGTGGGAATTCGTGCTCAGGGTCTGTAGGGGAGCATGTCTCTACAATGCAGGACGTGGGCTGATGCCAGGCAGCCAAAAATCCTTTATGTTCAGAAAGGTGGGACCGGCCAGCAGCCCCAGACAGCCACCCCGGCCACCACAGAAGGGACACCTTGGCAGTCGGTGGCCTGCAGCCATCACCCACCTGCTGGAAGCCCCAGCCATGCCCTGGGGCAGAAGTCACTTTTCTAAATCTTACAGATTGAATGAGCTACACCAACCCCTCCTATGTATTAAACAACCATTTTGAAAGCTGAGCGAGTAACAAACTACTACTGAAAAACTTTCTGTGCAGCCGGTGCAGGGAGATCTCAGCAGACGGATGGAGCAGGAGAAGGATGGGTGCTCCTGGGCAGTGCAAGGGTGACACACACACAGGCAGGCAGGAAGGCAAACTCTGCTGTTTATTGCTAGTGTTACTCAAGGAAGGGGGAATCAACGGCAATCAAGGCAAACCCCCCAGGGTGTGTTTCCCAAAGCCGGGGCAGCAGCAACCCCTGCCCGCGGCGGCTCCGCAGGGCACAGCGAGGGTGAGGACAGCGGCATCTGCAACCAGAAGGGAGAGGAGGGTCAGGGAGTGGGGCCCAGCCTTGCCACACTGTGTGTGCCCCCCAGTCCTGCCCCCCCACCTGCACGAGGTTCCCAGCAATGGGACAGGTCACTCTTGTCCCTCGTCCATGGCCATTTCACCAGTGCAGCAACCCTGTGTCTTACGTCAGGGGCTGGCAGAAGGAGCGACTCCGGGAACCCACCCGCCTGCGTGCCGTGATGGCTTTACAAACCGGTGCCAGCAGGCCCAGCTTACCAGAATATGCCCAGCTCCTTCCGCCGGTTGATGTCCCGCTTCAGCTGGCAGACGGAGCACACAGGGCACCACATGGTGACACAGAAGTCAGAGCAAATGGACCCCTATTAGGAAGAAACTGGTTAGGGATGGAGACTTCCCAAAAGCCACATTTTGGCCAAGAAAGTGTTAATCACATTCCATGTCACGTGTCCTGCACTTCCTGGCTGGCTGCAGCATCCAAGCAGCAGACACTAAAAACCGGGGCTGGCGAACCCCCAACAGTAGAAAGGAAGGAGGGAGTCCTTTCTGCAGGCTGTAGACAGGTACTTACCTTTTGGCTTTGGAGGTTAAGACTGGGGAAGGAAAACACACTGAAAGAGATGACTGGGGCAGACTGGACTTGGGCTCCCATGGATGGCACTGGCATCGGCACTAACCCCCATGGGAAGAAACCGTTTTGCATATGTACCGTACACAAATGCCACATCTGATTACGGGTGTTTATCTGTGTAACCGACTTCACCTATTCTTTAGTCTGTCCACAGTTATCTCCAAGCCTTCCTGTCTTTCAAATATTGGGAACGACATGGGGAAGCAGCAGTCAAGGCTCTGCAAGCTGCTGTGGTTGGCAGCAGCTGAAGGCAGGACAGACACGTGCCCCCGGCGAAGGGTGCTGGACAGGAGCTGTGTCCGATTAATATGTGGTGTCGGAGACCAGCCCAGGGATCAGCACAGCCAAGGACATCCCAACCCCTGTCCTGTGCTTCCAGCTTCACACAGCATACGGAAGTGAAAAAAAAAGGGTGAGTGAAGAGTGCTGACACTCCTTGGTCATCCCTGATGTGCAGAGAGAGGGGCCCCGGGGGGACACTGTCTTTGAGCCCCGCAGGATGGTGAAGGGGTGGGTTAAGCACTGACCGTGATGTTGTATCTGGTGCGGTAGAGGGTCCTCATGGCCACGCTGGACCCACACAGGCAACACTCGTTCATGTCCCCTGCCACTTGACAGGCGAGGCAGGGGTAGCAGAACATCCCGCAGCAGCCTGGCAGGGGGAGAAACACAGTGGGGGGTGAGGCTCTGGTGGGGGACTGGGAGGACCAGGCTACATGGCTGTAGCTATCATACCACCAACCCGAGCACCAGGGGTGAGAAAAGCGTCCCCAGAGGGTGCGGGACCGACGGCAGCACATCACTGCCATCGGCAGTGCACTGCCACGCGGGTGGGCCCGAGCCACTCACAGACACCGCAGTCGGTGCAGCAGTCCATCAGCCCCGTCTGCCACAAGCTCCTCGCGAGAGTGGGATTAACCATGCTGTACTGCGGCTGCACCACCACGACGGACGGGGTGGCCATTTCCAGTGGCTCTTCTGAAAGAAGCGGGAGGGAAATGGGACAGTTAGGGACAGAACTACAGTCGGCCTGATCCCCCAACCAAGCTGGTTGCCATCGCTCCTCAGCAGGTCACCTCTTGCCTGGCTCCCCCGCTGCCGCTGGGTTTGACAAAGCGTAACTGCATCTTACCTGCATTTGAGTCTTTTCAAGGTTTTTGCCTTTTCTGCCATTTTATCCAGCCTTCAAAATAGCATCAGGGCATTGACGTTCCCCACCCCATCCCAGATAGGCTTTGTTACTGCTTAGACACAGTTCACCAATTTCCCTTGTGCCAAGAAGGGATGGGCAGTAAACCCGGGCTAAAGCCAGGGACTCAGGCATTGCAGTGGTCGAACTTAGCATATTTTACAGAAGATGGCTTTGGCATGGGTACAGAGCATGCAGGAAGCATTTCCTCCTGACGAAGCCGGGCTCCACGCAAGAGGAGTACTGTAGAAAACTACAATCTCCGGTTTCTTGTCATAGAGAGCCAGAAAGGCAGAAATTCAACACTATGTCCCAAGTCTGAACCCCAGTCCTTGCTTTCTTGTGGTTAAGAAGCAAGTAAACCTTGAAAACCAGGAAGCCTCAGGTCTAAAAAAAAACCCCAAAAAATCTCTGTGCTCCTATTCTCCCAGCCAAGTAAAAGACAGCACAAAACGTTCTCAGATAACAAAAGCAAGTTTTTTGCCCTGAGGCCAAGTTCTTCTAGTTATGCACAAACAGAAGAAAGGGCATGGAAAAAGAAAAGAAGGATAAACCACTTCCTCACATTTGTTGAGGCTTTTTGCTACAATTTGGGGTTGAGGGGGTTTGGGTTTTTTTTTCTTCTTGGAAAAAGCAGCTTGACAAAGGCAGGACCTTGCTGCTGGGTGGTTGGCTCCTCCCCACACAGCTCCTGAGCTCACAAGACAGAATAGAAACTGAAATGAAGTAGGAGATGCTGCAGGGAGGGGAGCACCCTTCCTCCCCACATTTTGGGGCAATGCACACTCCTCCAGAAATCCCACTCCTGGCTTCACCTGGCACTACATGCCAACCTGCAAACCCAGCATGAATGCAGCCAGAGGCAATACCAAGTCCAAGGGGAACTGTGAGCGTGCATTGCCCGAGTGCTTTCCTCCGCTGACCCGACACCTGGTAAATCTCACTACTTTCTACACGTCTACAAACGCACAGTATTCTGTAGACGAGTATTATTCACATACTTTCTCCTCCCTCAGCTGCAATAATTAACACAGAGATTGCAACATTAAGACGCTCTTATCCCCAATAGCACACCCCATCGAAAAGGACAGCAAATAGTCAGGGAGCCCAGGCAGCAACATATACAAGCGACTGACATCAGCTGAGAACACACATGGAGCTAAGCAGCCTTGCTGAGAGGCATCTGGTCTGGAGCATCCATGCAGATGAGAGCAAGCCCAGTTTAAGGAGAGAGCAAAGTACCAGCCAGACTCCTTTAACGCAGTTATACAATTCTGGTAGTGGGAGAAAGCAGCGAAGAAGTCATAATCTCCATAATCCAGCTTTTGTTCATAGCTTTTTAAAAGCCTCCCCCCTTCCCCACATAGGATTTGCCATATATTTTGCTTTAAATTACATGCTGGGGGGGAGGGGGCAGAAATCTTTACTTCTGCACTATTGTCCCACTCCTCCCAGACTAACAAGTTTTCACTGTTTCCATGCTTTGAGACAACTAACCTTCTGGTGAGCAGTCTCTGTAAGTGCTGGCTCCTTTGCCGTCCGGGACCCTGTGCATTGAGCTTCAGGGGAAGATGAAATTCAACTTTCTTACTCTTGGAGGCTTTTATTGGCTGCCTGCAGTGAGCAAGTATGGTGGGAGGGGAACAGCAGGAGCTGTGCTCTGTCAGTACCACAGAGCATAAGATATGTGCAGAGCACCACTTCCCGTCCCGCCCCAGCCCACCCC